ATTGTTTAGGGTTCTGTGCCTCTCGTCATTCTTATCAGTTTAGCACCAATAAAAAAGCATAAACAAACGTAAAAAAAACCTTGTTCACAGTTTATTAACTTTTGCAATAGGAAAATTAAGCAAGATATTCTCTAACAGTTTTAAATATATTTTTAGTTAATAATTGATGTTTATTGAAAATTATAAAACACGAAAAAAATATTAAACTATAAATAAAAATTACTAAATTATAAATAAAATTCTTATAATATGTTTTTAAAATAAATTTTAACTAAAAGTATATATAACGATGAAGTAACCAAAAACACAAAATCCGATCCAAAATTCTGAAAAATTGAACGAGGAAACCACAAGAAACTTTGGTTGGCTTATCCTCTCAGAGAGTCATGCAATGTGACCTGAGACTGACACACAGTTTTGTAATTATGGATCATATCGAAAAAATAGAACACCAACGTTGAATAGTAGTAAAGTTTTATCTTTATGTGGCAAGTTGTGTTGGAAGTAGCATTTAATATTTATTATTTACCGTAACAAAACCGGAGGATGAAAATGAAGCATTTGCAGCGCAGATACCTTTTGTTCGACGCTGCATGTCGAATCTCTCTGTGTCAAATGGTGCTTACTTGATTTAATTGCTGCATTGCATTTCCATCTCGGATACCTTTAACGGTTTTCTCTTTTCAATATTATCCTGGGACATGCACTTGCTTAAGCTTTTTCATCAAGCTTTAACTTTAAATACATAACTAGTTCGGCTTTGTGACACCAACTTGATGATGACACTACGACAGAAAGATGGAACCTAAAATGGGTTTATTTTGCCTCCATAAGTTGTTTTTGCTTATTGGTTCAAATATTGTTAACTGATTACTAGTTCGTTTAAGGAGAAGTTTTTTTTTTATTCTAGACCAAAGGTTTAGTTTAGATAAATTTATGCAAAAATGTTATAAAAAATTTACTTTGAGTAAATTTTTGCAAAAGTATTTATAAAAAAATATTTTTTATACGTTAAAATAATTTATGGTTTTTGTATTCTTTTTAAAAAAATTTAAAGCATAAGTTGTTTAAATTGATTTTACTTTATAAAAAATTATGCATTTTAAACTTATGTTATACTTTTTAAAATCTTTTTCAATTAATTTCTCTAAAATATAAGATATATAAATAGATTTTAGCTCAAGTAAAATATTTTACTTGTTTTACTTTTTATTTCCTTCTCCCGCAAATATTTATATAAAAATTTATCCAATTTAAACTAAAAAAAGACTCAAATTAATAATTAGTCTTGCAAAATTTTTAATCGAATTAGATATAAATGTTATCTAAAGCATATTTAGATGCATTAACTTGCACGATACAATATATTTATGCTGTGTAGCACGAGGTTACTACTCATAAGTCATCTTTCTCCACACAATTTTAGAATCTTTGTGTGGTATAATATATATGAGAGTGCTTAGTGTCTTGACATTGGGTTACTTGTAGTCGAGCCTCATATATAAAAGGCACATCTCACGTCATTGAGTATTACTATTTTACTGAAATATCTACCAAGTGTTAGAGTATTTTTGTAATTAATGTTTTCCTTTTCATGCTAAAAGTTTTAGTGTTGGTCCATTCATTCACTAAAAGAGTAAGCTTGAGAGCTCATAACTACTTATGCTCATGAATGATCAACTAAATAAAAAATTAACAAAATTTAATATTTTATTATGTTAGATAACGTTGGTGGCATTAATAACAATAACTTGACAATCATTAAGTTAATACATCTTAATTAAGTTTAAGCACGCAGATTTTAAAGCATTGTATCAAGAAGAAATGTTAGCAAATTGTTTGGCATACTATTTTTAACACATTTTTAGTTAGTTATTGAATATAATATGTTTATATTTACAAATCTCACTTTTAATTTAATATATTTTTTATACTTTTATAATTTTCAATAAAACTAATAACTAACAGTGTGTTAAAAAAAAATATCCCTAACATTTATCTTGTATTAAAATGACATAATGTACTATTCTATTCGTAATAAAAATAAATTGTAGCTCAAATTTTTTTTAGTTATGATACCAACGATTTAAAATTGAAGTCATTATTATTGAGCATGTAAATCAATTATTCAAGAGTTGTTCTTACTGAATTTAACTTGTGATTTTGAATTTAAATTTTAATAAATGTAATTATTTTAAATATTTGAAAAGAGAACTTTGTTGAATATAGTAATGATATTTTTTAAATTAATAAAAAATTACTGTAGTTATCATAATTTTATTTAAAATTTAACTTTCATATGTAAAATTTTAATAAATATATAAATCAAAAGAAAAATAGGCATCATTAATTGAAAAAAATAATCGAATAAGTGAAAAATAAGAGTGCTTGGTTTATCCAACAAAAAATGAATCAATATAATATTATAAATAATAAATTTTTAAATGAAAATAAAAAATTAAAATTAAATAAACTTCATATTTAGAGAAAAATTAAAATCTCAATATAAAATAATTTTTAAAATTAATAATGAAAGATTTTTAAAAAAAATACAAAATTAGTGCTAAAAAATATTATATTATATGTTACAGAAAAGAGAGGATAATGTAGATTCGTTTAATTGAGTTTATAGCGATGGTTTAGTGTGCAGTTTCACCAAAAAGCTTAGTTTATTTATTAGAAAAAGATATATTAATGATCAATAGTTATGACCTGTTACCTGAAGAATCGGCAACTGTTGAATATTTTATTTGCATATTGGTCCGCTAAAAGTTTCTAGTTCACATTTAAGGTCAACCTGTGTTCTGAAAGAATTTATGTATCATTAATAACTTAATAATCGGTTTTATAAAATTAATTAAAATATTTTTTAACATATAAATAAATTTTATATCTTAATTTACAATATAAACTCTTCATACAATAAAAATATTAAACAAATACTTAATTCAATTATTATCCAAATGCACTTTGAAGAGTCAGCTTCTAATAATGGTTGTGGTGCTGCGTATCAGGCATTGACTAAAAAGCAGTAAATATAAGATAATAATAGAAATTGAAATTGAAATTTACATGGTAAACCAATAGGGACAGGCAATCAACAGCAATTTAAGAGAGTCCAAGCTCCTAATAATTTAAAAGGGGAAAGCGTGGGCTCCAATTATTTCAACTTTTTAAAATAAATTATATATTAAAATATAATTTTATTATTTTTAATAGAAATATACAATTAATCTTTTTTTTTATTTCTTATAATTGATTTGTTTCTACAAACTCGTCAACTATTTATTCATATTCACTTTACTTGTTTCATCATCTACCTCATCCTTAAGATACAAGTTTCAACTAAACTTGAATTAGTTTGTATTACAGAGCAAAATAAGTGTAAACATGTCTTTAATTTTAATAAATTTAGCTAGGCATCAAATTAATCCCCCAAAAGGTATTACATCTTTTATATATCTTTTGTTTCAATATCAAACAGATAAAAGTATACAAAATGATTTTAATTTTATAATTAAAAAACTTGTAAATAACACCACTTCTTTATGAACTGTGCTGGATACGTTACTTTTGAATAATATGTTATTTTCCTTAAAATTGTAATATCCATCGTCTAGTTTTTGAAATTATAAAAAAAATTAGTCTTTACAATTATAAAAAATAATGCCTGCTAATTTAGTCTTTGAAAGTTGAAACTATTACAAAAACACATTTAGTTCTTAAAATTATACGCTTTCATTAATTGAATTCCTTAAATTATCAAACAAAATTTATAGTTCTTAAAATTATCATAAATTGGTCATTTTATAAATTTATACCTAACATTATAGGTATTTATTGATTTAGTTTTTAAAGGCTGAAATTATGGTAACAAATTTTTTTCTTGAAATTATATATATAAAAAGATCTTAGTCTTTTTCATTAAATTTTATTAATTTTTTAATAATGTGTTAAAGATAATAAGTTAAGTGTCAACGTAATACTTACATGACTGTCTAAGTTATTAAATGATGTAATTTTATTTTATAAAAAATAAAAAAAAAGTGTGAACTTCTTTTTTAATTTCAACTTTATTTAAAAATGTATTGTTGACGAGTTTTATACCAAAATATTAGAATTGCTCATTACTAAAGTTTATGTTATGTATGTACTTACATAATTGTCTAAGTTATTAAATGATGTAATCTTTTTTATGTTACGAAAAATAATAAAAAAGAATGTGTGAACTTCTTTTTTTATTTTAACTTTATTTAAAAATTCGTGACGAGAATAATAAAATCACTGATTAGCAAAGTTTATGTTACGCATGTACTACAATTGATACTTAATCTATTACATTGGTACGTTGTTAAATGAATTTAATAAAAACAAATAAGATAATTGATTCTTAATTATTTTAGAAACTAAATTAACAAGGATGTATTCATGGTTACCGTTCCCACCAATTGGTGAGTTACCCACAGACTCTACATGACTTATTCTTTGCTTTGTTTCCTTCCCATTCTTTTTATCCATCAAAACTTCTTCCCATTCATCACTTGCCTTTCCTTTCTATCTCGTTAACACCATACACCTTTCTCATCATTGAAATGCAAAAGCCTTTAATAAAGGCCCAAAAAAACAGACAATGTAACGCTGAATAAGGAGAAAAGAACGAGAATGAAGTAAAATGGCCATGAAACTACAAAGATCACACATAAATAACTTAGCTTTTAAAAAGTTGAAAACAGTTTATTACACGCATGAGTGATCCTTCTTTCAGGACTCTTTACACACCCAAATTGAAGGACTCTCATTTCATTACATTAACAACCAAGAGTCATCCAAAAAAAAAGGGACCATGAGGATTGAAGAGCAGATTAAGAAATATAAATCGTTCCAAACGAAACTAAAGCTAATATATAGTCCTTGGACTAAATAGCCTAAACCAAAATTTCCAATAAAAAAATAATGGAATCAGATCCATATCTCTATGAAACACTACCATATATCCCCTATGCTAATCTTATGAAAGATCAATCTTCAAAACCCACTTTCTTCCAAATGGCATTCCTAACCCTGCGCAAGTCCCTACCTTTGAGAGTCCTTCCTCTCCCTTCATGCACAGAAAGTGAAGCCCCTCTTGTCCTAGCAAGGTACTCATGAGGAGGTTCATCACCAACAACAACATCTTCATCATCACTCTCCCTCTTCCTATGCTCCTTGTAATCCTCCTTCAAAATCTTTGACCAATCAGGTATATTCACAGGCAATGAAGCTGAAGCCACAGGACTCACTCTTCCACCACCTTCCACCTTTCTACAACCCCTCTTCAAAGCCGATCGCAACCCCTTCTTCCCCTCTGTGACAGTGTTGGAGTTATTGTAAAAACCCCACACCTCAGCTTCATCCAACTCCAAATCACCCTCTTTGGATTTTGCCTCCAAATGGGTCTCTGATTCTGAGCTGGATCCAAAGATGTAACTTGCTTTTGAAAGAAAGCCCTTCCTTGACGCCATTGATTGAAACTCAATGAGATGCTATTACCAATCAATGTCTCTTTCTCTCTGTTTTTGTTCTGTTTCCAATTTCACCACTCTTGACTATTCCTTCACATTTATTTATATATTGCTTTTTGGTTGTTGTGGATAAAGCTAAGCCGCTTTTTCTCTACTCTAGGGGGGGTCTCATTATACGCGTTACAATTAACAAATAATAACTAAAACTAGTAAAAGTTTAATGCAAGGGTCCTCACGTGCTTTAACATGAACCCTCCCTTATTTTGGGTCAGTTTCGTTAATGATCCATGAAGATGCACCAATGCTGTGATCATTCTGATTCAATATGTAACTCGTGAAAAAAAAATACTCCTCCTCCCTAAAATTCCTTCCACCTCAAGAAATCAAAGTTCCCTCACTACACGTTAGGCAATACTGAGTGATACGTGCACATGTCAAAAATTTCACGTTCTTCATATGAGATGGACTTGAAAAAGCCACTTTTTATCATTAAAAAAATGAATCATTGTTATGACTGGAAAACCTTTATCGTAACAAATTTTACTCTGTCATTGCCTCGTCTATGCTCCGATGGCTGCTGAGTTAAAGTTAAGGAAAAAGATAATTTCACATCCCTTAAAGCCATTAATAGGGTCTCAATACAATGGAAAGAAGAGAGAGACGAAAAAATGTATATAAAATTATAATAATTATAAAATGATTTTTTAACCTATACAATATTTTATAAAATAAGAAGTTATATATGATAAATTTTTGTAAAAAATTATAGCATTTAATACCATTATTGCATTAAATTATATAATTTTAAATAAAAAATTATTATATATAATTTTTTATTCTACGTAACATTACACAAGTTGAAAAAATCAATTTCAAAATTAATACTTGTGACATAAGATCAGCTGTTCAGAAAATTGCTCATTGAAATATGGTGACCCATTCTTAAATTTAATAATTTAAGTATACTCGTTATTATTGAATGATTGTGACTTCAATTATAATATTAAAAATGTTAACTAAATTAAAAAAACAAAGACAGATTTAAAAAAAAAAATTCTAAAATAAAGAAGCAAGGATACTTCTGTTTTTAATTAAATTAGATGTATCATTAAATTTAAAGATGAATAAAATATTTATTTAACTACTTTTAATATGCACTGTCTCACTGTAATGCTCACGTGATTCAGGTGGAGAACTGAAACTGTTAGAAGTTTCCCCTCATTCTTAATTATTACTCTTTTCGAATACATCATATTCACGAAGTGGTTTGAGTATAAGAGAAAAAAATAAAAAGTGATAGATAATATGATATAAGATAATAGAAAAATGTGAATATAAAAATATAATTATATATTTTTTAATTTAGTTTGTACGGAAAAAACATATGGAGAGAAAAGGGCAGAGTTATCCGATTTCGAAAAGGCAAACACTTGGACCAATGGGATCGTTGTTCGGCGACTAAATAAAATAAAATAAAATAAAATAGAAAAACAATTTTGATGGCTTTTAATAAAGGTTAAGAGGACACCACACGCTTCCTCGTAGAAAATTTCCATTCCTACCATCTGTATTGTGTAATCTATTATACAATTCCAAAATTTAAATTCATTTACTTGAAAAAAAATACAAAGAATTAACCAAGTATGTGATAATTATGTATAAGGTTCGGTTTGGTTACCAAGACTTTAAATAATTAGATAAAATTAATTATAAATAAATGTTGCGGTGTTAAAACAATGTTTTTCCATTTACATAAATATAGAACATAAAGTGATGTTATACTTATAATGAATTCTTATTACACTTTATAATTTATTTTTTAAACCTCTTTTAATCATATTACTCTTATTTTACACTCCTTTCCCTCTCTCTTTTATATCTATTTTTTAAGTTATAAGAATTATTTTAGAAATATATCAGAATTATTTTCTCCCAATCTAGTCTATTACCTAAGGAAAAAACAAAAGAAAACACAGCATGGTATGTATACCACCATGGAAGGAAGTTAAAGCTGTGGGTTCCACTCCCATCACCGTTCAATGATGATTAGGATGTCCATATCTTGACACATCGTGAAACACTTTTGTCACGGCATTATCATCATCATTATGCTTATTATTGCTATTATTATTATTATGCTGTCCAAGAGACAAAAAAAAATGTTCCTCCTTTATTTTATTTGACAAAATTTAAATGTAATATTGTAAAAAATTCTAATGTTGTAATTTAAATGTAAGAGTTATTATCAATGTAAAGTCTTAATTTTAATAAAAAAAATAACTTCAAAATATTTAAAAACTACGCTTAGGTTTTTTGTAATCCTGTGGTCGTTGCCAACGCTGCGGTCTGGACGTTACTACATCAAATTTACTCATGCAAAGGACCACAAGGACAACTGCGGTTTGGATGTCCTTTTAATTGTTCAAAGATAAGGTTTTTAAAGAAGAAAAACAAAATGTTATTTGTATGTTAAAAAGGGAAATTTTAAATATTTTTTTTATATTTATATGACACAAATTTAGTATATGTGATTGCAGAGAACATTTGAAATGAGAGAGATTTGTGTTATGAGAATTAATTAACAAAAAAGAGAAAAAAAGTAGATAGTGTAATAGTAATATTAAATTTAAGCTCTTTATTTGATTTAATAGTCATTATTAATATTTTTTACCTCTTATAATAATAATTTTTTTCACTTAAAATGCTCTCATAATAATATATATAAAATAAAAAATAAAGAAAAAATATAATATCATATTAAATTAATTTGTAAGACAGTGTAAGGAGAAAGAGAGGCGATTTATTTTATAAAAGAAGCAATCAGTTAACTTTTAACACATTTGCATTTAAAATAGACTGCTGTGAACTATTCCAAAGATCATATAATTAGGTCATAAACAATGAAAGATACGTACTTAAGAAGGATATTGGTACGAGTTTTGTATTGCTTTTAGAGGTTTCTTAAATAAATAATAAACAAAACAATTTACACATTTCACAAACAACGAATTTCCCATTCATAACCAGAAGGCGTGAAGGGTTTTAATATTCAAATAAGTTGCTGAAAGGACGCTGCAGAACACAGAAAACATATATGAGTGAATGAATGATGAGAAAACATATATTTTAGAAATTGTAAAATTCTTACATCTCCGTTTCAAGGAAAACCTCAAATTTCTCAAGACAAAACTTTGAATTAATAGTAGTTTGTCTCTTAGACTTTGATAAATTCTTGCATAGCCTTAGATTAGGGAAATTTTGACCTTCAAATACGGAACAAATAATTAGATAAGACAACAACAGTAATAATAAGTTGTTTTCGTACTATTGTAAATACAAATTTTCAGAAATAAAAATAAAATGCGATAAAATCTCAAACAAAATAATTTATAACCTACTCTCTCTCCAAAACTCTACGTGTCCTCTTATCTTCGTTGCCTAGATCCCTACCCTCACTGTTGGTGCTTTCTCAACGATGATTTAATTTCTTTTTATCCTATCCATATGTTGCAGGTTGTAACTGTTGAGATAAGCTTCGGGCAAAGAGGACTTGAAGCTAACATTAGAGATTTATAATAAAATTATTAACATCTCTTTACCTAAAGATTTAAGCTTTTAAAAATATTTGTTTATGACATGATATTAGAGTTTTTTTTCTTTTACGACCAAATAATCTAGAATTTCATTTATTTTTTTAAAATTGTCATCCTTATATTTTCTTTTCTTTTCTTTTTTTGGTAGTTCCTTATCTTTTGATTAAAAGTTAAATTTTAGGTATTATTTATTCTTATTTCGGGTCCAATCATGCAGGCCCAAATTAACAAATAATGAAGGTGAATCACATATGGTCGTCTTCTACTGTATTAGATATGTCTTCACTAAGCACTTTATCATGTTGCACATAATATGCAATGTTAGACTTTATGTTATAAGAGTGCTCTTATATTTTGACTATTTATTCTCATCTAAGTTCTATATAATGAGCACACGTTACATAATATGCAATGTTAGACTTTATGTTATAAGAGTGTTCTCATCTAAGTTCTATATAATGAGCACACGTTACATCATTAGGTTCTTATACTGTTATTCTATTAAAATATACATTAGCTTGTGCATCGAAGCGAAGGTCCTTGCTTTTGCTCATAATTCTAGCCTTAGCATATTCATTCTTTGTCGTTGCATGAGTTAGATCTTGAGTCTCCATTTCACTTGGTCCGAGTAGAACACTACTAAATGTTACAAGTTCAAGTAATCATGCAATATAGTTCAAGTGATGGGAACTAATAGGTTATATGTAAGATAATTAAGATTTGAATCTCAATGACAAAAAAATTAATTTTTAGATTGTCGAAACAAAAAGGTTTTAGATAAAGAAACATGTTATATGTATAATATATAGCTTTATGTTTTTCATGTTGTTATAACTAGGTAGTCGGTATGGCAAAAAATGTGTTTAAAAAAAATATCTTTTAAAAATAAAAATATTTTTAAAAAAATTAGTTTGAAATTAGGTAGTCGGTATGACAAAGTTTATTTTAAGAAAACTTTGAAAAAATTTAAAAATAATATGATATTTGAAATAAAAAATAAGTTTGAGAATTATTTATGTGTAGGAAAGGTACTAGCACCTTACAACGTCTGTTTAAAAATGATTACCTTAAATTAATTATGCAAATTCATCTTAATTTTAAAAAATATTTATTTAACTTCTAAACAATTATTATTATTATTTTAAAAAAAGATAAATTATTTATTAAAATGTTAATAAATACCTTAAAAAATTATTTTGACTTGACGAGTCTTGTACCCGCTCCTACGTATCTCCGAGTGCAATGGATAACTAAAAGTCACGTAATTCTATTTAAAAATTATGAAATTGGTTGATTAAAATTGAATTTAATAAGAAAAAATTTATTTTAAAATTAAAATTATTTTCATAAAATTATAGTGTTTAGAATACAAGATAACACAGTTATACATGTATCCTACGAGAAACAATACAAAAGGTGAAGGAAGATCATACAACTATATTGCAAATTGTTAAAAATATTTTGTTCATAAACGAAGTATTTGAATTTGAATTTGAATTATTATTAATGTCAAAAGAAATTTAAGATAACATAAATTATACGTAAATCTCTTATAATTTATTGGACCATCAAAAGTAATGTAAATTACACATTAATGTTGTA